TTGATGTGAGACCACATATCTGATTTGACAAAATAACAATTTTCATTTAGAAGAATGCTGTGAAAATTTAGGCTGCCAAAGCCAGTTAACTAGTCTTTTTTTTTTCTCTCCACAACTATGTGGAACAGTGGTTAGCATTGCTTGAATGTTTAGAGGGAGGCCACAGGAAGGTTAGGCTTAATTGCCCTGGACACTCTCAAACATAGTCTTTGAGCATTCAGCAAGTCAGACACTAACAGGCCAGACATAGCACAGGAATAGCACAAGACTGGACAAGGATACATAGGTGGAAAAGGAGAAGAGTGGAGAAGAAAGTCTTTGCTTCAAAATGTCTTAAATCATAAAATTATTTTTACTATGATTATCATTTTTGTGAATGGAATTAATTGTATTCAATTAATTCCATGTATTCAGTTCTTGGAAACACCCTATATACTTAAAATGCCCTTCAGGCTCATATTACCACTACAGACAATGTCCTCAGGTTTTACAAGCAAGCAGCTCCTTATTCTTCAGCTGGACAGCTCTTCCATGTATGGTTAGCTCCTCTAGGCACTGCCCAGCTTGCTTTCTCTGTCTGTAATGGAGATGCCAGCATAAAACAAATTCTCAAGCTGAAGGCTAGAAATATGCATAAGCATATTAGAAGTATTTGCCTATTCCAGAATGTTAAATGGAATGTGAACTTTGCAGGGTAAAAGGGCTCAAGAACTGTTGAAGAGAACTGCTAAGTGTTGAAGAGAACTCCTAAGTAAAAGCTTTATAAAGGCAGATGCAAAGGCTCATCTTAGCAATGCAGATGGCAGAATTCCTCTGCAGTCTACAATTATCATAATTTTTAGTTTTACTGTTAAAAAAAATTTAGGTTAAGAATTACAGGATGGATCGCAGATATAGAAGATGTAGATATCAATCTAGTGTAAGGATTAGCATGCATTAGTTCATACACTCCTCACATTTAAGGAACTATTTGCACTTCATTTTAAATGAAATTAACTAAAAATCTTTTCCAAAGAATGAAACTTTTTATTTATTTTTCTTACATTAGTTATGGCATGGGAAAAGCCCAAAAGGTTTTCTTTGCAGTATTTCTAATTCAATTAAGAGCAAGAACCAATTAAAATCTCAAATGGTTTCCCATGAACTTTTAGACTGAAGTGTTGGATAAATTTAGATTCCCAATAAAACCTAATTTAATTTCAAAATGTTCTGGCCAAGTTTTTTTAGAAATAGATGCTTATAGGTAGGATGCTATGTCTATATTTTTAGGCAACACAGAAGAAGGATCTCAATTTCAAAAGTTCTGTGCATCTAAGTACCCCAAAATAAATCAACTTAAATAAACTGAAATAAATCAGCTGAAGTTCAGTTTCCTTCAGATCAGACAACTCTTTTAAAGATCTACTGCAAACATGAACAACTCTTTTTGTCTTCCTTATGAACCTATAGCATAGGCTATGTATAGAATTGATAGAAATGTACAAAATATGGATTTAAGTCTCTAAATTTTGATTCAATTTGTAAAAATCTTGCTTAAATATTTGTACAGACATAATTACAGCTACTGTAGAAATTTATTGAGCTTTTAAGGGAGAAATGCAGTCATTTTTCAGAGAGATGCCAGTACTCAATAAAGAATTTCTTTCTGCCATCCTACTCTCAATTTATTAAGGCCAACAGAACAGAACATCACTGAGGAAGACATTCAGTCAGATTTGGCTTATCCTTATCCAAACAAGGATCCAAAATAACAACCCAGTGTGTGTGTGTGTGTGTGTGTGTGTGTGTGTACACACATACAGGAAAAGTGAAATTAAACAGTTAGTCAAGAAAGACCGGCCTGAGGAGTTTTTGTGAAAGGTTCAATGAACAGGAATGTTTGGCCTGATAAGAGAAGGGAGAGTGAGATTACATGCGTACTTGTTGCTGAAGACACGGAGATATTAGCCATAAGGGAACTTTATACCTACACCTAACATAAATATTTTTTGGTCAGCAATGGTCTGCAAGGAAAAAAAGAATGGAGGTAAAATTTGCAGTTACAGCTATTAGCAATGTAACTTTTAAAATTATGAGTTAAATTACTAGTAAATTAACAGTTTTTTTTTTTTTAAGATATCATAAAGAATAGAATCTGAACGCTGTCTAATTATGGTTTTGGCCATGTCTTTAAAGTATTGCAAACAAACATAAAGGGAAAAAATGATGTAAGCTGCCAAAGATATGTTAGGAATCACAGAATCACAGAATGGGCCACGTTGAAAGGGACCACAGTGGGTGGTACAGAAATTACTGTTGTCTGATTAGCTGTGCTTCAACAATAAAAATATTTGTTTTACATGCTGAAGGTAACTTATAAGAGTTATAACTTGCTTATAAGAGCAAGATGATGAATTGAACCTGCTTAACACCACAGCAGAAGTACTTCACCTGTAATCTCTGTACCTTTTATTAACTATCCCCTTGAGGGAATCCCATGGCTCCATAACTCATTTTTTCTTTTCTAGAACAGATTCCTACTGATTTGGTGCTACAGACATCTATTCTCCCAACCCCCACTAAAAGCTGGATGCCAGACACCTCATAACTGGTGGACAAACACATTAAATACTTTGTGCCAGAGGCACCATCTTCTTCAATATCTTCTCTTTCTTCTGGATCTGAGTCAGGCATCCAGTAGCAAAGGAACACATACATGGATTTTCTTTGATGGAAAACCTCTCTTACCAGAACACGTTTCTCATGGATGACTCTGTGTATCTCTAGGTTTTTGTTCCTAGACCTACTGCAGAGAACCTGCGATACCACCACCTGTTCTTTACAAATCTCTTAGTTTACCGAAACATGCAGGCTGCCTTTTACTGTAAAGTATTTTTGCTGTAAAAACACCTTTGGAATTAAGCCTAAGCCCACTGAGCTGATCCAGCCTGTGTCAATGACATTTGGAATAGGGCAGTAGATTTCTGTAGTGCTCCAAGAAGGTTTGGTTTTGACAACCAATGGCTTTTCTTGCATTAGGCTAATTTGCTGAATCTTCTCTCTCCTATATGATGTTTAAACAAAGTAAGACGTATTCCAGTTATGAGATAGGCTTCCCATTTAATATTTCCCCCTCAAAATGCAGCTTGGATTTAGTAATTAATTAGTGATATCCTGCAGAGTCTACAGACTATCACGAATACTCAGACAACCCACATATTTCCCCAAACTCAGCTAAGGCAATCTAAGAAACTGAATTTATAAAAACAATAAAAAGATTTTTCTGTGCAAGTTCATAAATTCTGAGAGTTTCATGGAAGAAGACACTTGGTATGAGTTAAGAAGCTTTAACAACTCTACACAAAGGCAAGTATTGGCTGAAAAAGCAGGCAGCATTCTGGAAATGACTAATGAAGTATTATAGCACAATTCTGCTAGTGGATGCTTCAGCTTACACTGCACAGCTAAAGAGCAGCAACATGGTATCATAAATGCAGGAGTCATTCTTTGTGAATATGTGACAGATCCAGCTTCTGAACATTATAAATCCTGCTCACTGAGTCTTGATAGTGGACTATTTAGTGTTTCCTGGATTAAGAAGCAATAGATGCAGTCTGTCAAAAATAGGTAAATGCAGAGCCCGTTTTCTCACCTCAAACTGGCAGATGCTACAACAGTCCTTCTAAAGGCATATATTAACACTTCCAGTGCAGCTATATAAAGGTTATATAACACATTCCCACTGGTTGGAAAATATTTTCTAAAAAAATACCTGCAAGCAGCATGGATTTGTTTGATGGTTGTATCTATGTGAAGACAGATCACACACAAACACATCTGTCTGGTCTATGAGGAAAAGTCTAGAAAAGATTTTCTTTGAGAGGTAGTAAACACATTTGACTATGGTTTCAGTCTCTTCTGTCTCAATTTAAGTTTGTTTATCAAACATGTGTGGCCCAGTCTGAAAGAAATCCAGAAATTTTTGCCAATGAGTAGAATGGAATGATTTCCTAATGATGCTAAATCTTCATCCACGCTAGGCTTAGCCTTGCCATTCAGATGAGATAACTTGAGGCTAAACATTACCTGATAGATTAGTGGATCATAACAGCAGACCAACTGTAACTTGCTTGCTGGAAAGATCACACATACTAATTTTCTGGTACTTACAGCACTGCTAGAAGAAACAAGGATTCAACAAAATACATTTTCAAGTGGGGAAAAGCTGAAACTGAAGGAGCATAATTATAATTTTGTCATTAACTCCATATAAGAGGCAAATTCAGCATATTCAGCATTGAGAAGGAAACTAAACTGGTTCTCAAAAACTCCAAGTCTCATTCTCACCTCTGCTCTGATTTGTCACATCAATTTTAAAGTTGTATCTGTAAAATGAAGTTGATTTAGAAATATATATTAAGCTGAAATCTGAGAATGATAGTGCTGTACATTACTATTACATACATCCTGCAGAAATACCTTCCCTTTCTTACTTATATGTCCCTTCCTTACTTATACTTTACCTTATAAATTTACTCTATTTACTCTGCAATTTATTCAATGTTGCTCTTTCCTTAAAGATTAAACATTATAAAAGTCTTGAATGAGAAGAAGCAGGAAGAATTCAAGCTTACTTATGTACCAGGCAGAAATTTCTTTATCTTGTCTTCCACCTGTGGAACAAGTTCCTACAGGAATCAAGGATAAGCCCATATATGTTCTGAGGGACTATTCATGCATTTTATTAAAAAAAAACTTTCAGAAGTGCTTAAATTCTTCAAAGATGAGGGCAATATAAGACAAGGTATCAGAGAAGCTGAACAACTTAACTGTTAGAGTTTAAAAAAAGGTCTTTGTATGCCTAACACTGACAAATATTAGAGACCAGACCTAAAGTAGCTACTAAGAAAAACTGCAATATCTACAGTGATTTTTAAAACCAAGTATAAAGGCAATTTCATCTGCCATACCTGTGAAAAAATATCTGTATTTAGTAAAAGTAAGGAACTCCAACTCAGAGATGGTTTGAAGTAAATTTGAGCACATTTATTAAAGAAAGAGACCATAAATTGTATTTTAATAAAAATCAGCATTTTTTCAGCATGTCTAGTTCTAAGTTGTTTACAGTTTTTTCTCTCATGTAAAAAATAAATCCACACAGCAAGACCGAAGTAAAACTAGACACAAATTGGATTACTTTTTATATGGCAACTTGCTCAAAAATAAAACTCTCATCAATTGATTATCGCTTACTGTTTATTTAAGAAATAAGTTTAGGGGAAAGTTATGATCATTCAATGCATTTCATTTTTTTTGTTAGAATAGTCTTGGTTGAGAATCTCATTTTAATAAAATCTGAAAAGTTAAAATATATTTTTCAGTGTGAATATATTACTGCCTCAACATTTTATGCTGTACAAATTTAGTTGTTACTTATGGCAACATAATTGGCTGGAAAGATGCCAGTTTGTCCTCCTATTCTTCCTTCCCACCAATCAAACTGGGAATTTGTTTTAGTTGTGACTGTGATTTTGTCTCCAGCTTTGAAAGTCAAGTCACCTGGCTGTTGTCCTTCAAATGAATAAAGTGCTGTCACTTCTACTGGATCACTCCAAGAGTTATCTGAAATGAAAGAAATTAAATAAGAAGAAAATTACTAAAAGGAAATTGCTAGTGTCTGCACATACACTAAGTTCTTAAATACAGTATTCTTAAACAATAGTAGAAAGCAGTGACAAAGACACCAAAATAATCTGAGCATATAAACCACTAATAAAAAAACTCTTCCATTTTCACTATATTCTTAAGTAAGTGAAATTTGAATTCCAACCTATTGGCACCATCTACTTTAATAAAGTAGTACTCTATACAAAATAAAGATCAGCCATTTTTTCTGTATGCCTCATATAGTCAGCAACAGTGGAAAGAAAAGTGTGTTGAAGAAAGCATGAGTGCTTCCTGAATGATTGCTAATGGAACCCCTGCTCAGATTTTAGTTTTAGTATTTGTTGTGACAGTTTCTTCATAGAAAAGCAGAGAACTTGATTTTTTACTCAAAACTCAGGATATAGGATGGCTAAATACAAAATATCCACACCACTTTCCCTTCTCTTTCCATAGGGTTTGCAGTGCCTGGGATTTTGGTGTATCTTGCATGTTAAACAAAACACACAAAATGTGCCAGCGGAAAAGACTGATTACAGTTTGATGTATTGGAAGTGAGTTAGTTTGCATAGCGGTATTTTAGACCGCATATACTTTTATTCTGTTCATACCAGTCTTTTAAATATTTCCTTCAGTCCTTAGCTGGTGTTGGAATCATGCCACGAGTCTTCCAATCTAGTTTTAAAATCATCAAAATCTTGGATATCATTATCTATCCTCAATTCCTGTTGAAAATTTTTAGCCAGTGTCTCAATGTTTGTTACTATTGAACTTTTAATTTAAGTGAATATCCTCAATTTACTAATACTTCTGTTTTCTCTCAATTTCTTTAACTGTCTGAACTATACGAGGTAGTTGCATTTGTTTAACGTTGATTTAGAAAACAGTTAAATCTCTTGCATGAATGCATCTAGAAGTGAAAAATCGAAGGTGCAATGGAAGACTAGTTAAGAGGAAATAATGATGTTTACACGTCAAGCGGAGAGATTTCAGGACGTACTTCTCATATGGACATGATGGCTGCACAAATGCTCAAGAATGCAAGATTAAAGGCTTTTAGCATTAGCTGCACCTGCTTGCTGTCAAAACTGTTGCAAAATAGGAAACCCAAGCTCTTACTAATCTACACATTGCAAGCACAGAGTTAGAAAAAATGGTGAGAGAAGCATTGATACATTTTTTTGCAGTCTGTCTTCAACAACTGATACCCACAGACCGTTTCTTCTTCTTGCCTTTATCATTTCAATAGAAAGAGGAAAAATTCTTTCCCCCCAAGGCTCACAAACACAAACAGCATCCAAAAGAAGACAGAGAAGAAAACTGGGATACAAAGGTATGCATAAACAGCACAGGTTTTTTTTCCTCCAGCATCTGTCAATATATATGTTCATTCTACAGGTCAGTTCTTTCCTTTCATGATCTGGATTTGATGCAATCATCAAGGACTAATACAAAATTGTTTGGCCATGTGCTGGACAATAGTTGGTTGCAGAGAAGTCAAATGCTGTCTTTCTTGATCACACAATCTCCCTCTCCTGATATCTGTATTCATGATCTAAAATCACACAACACTATTTCTTTTGATGTGAAAATGTTGATGAGGTCCATATCTTTACCAGTTACTCCTACCAAAAGCTTTTCTAAATAGCTCTTTTACTTTCACACTTGAAAGCCCGACAGACTGAGTATTCAGCAATTATATGATATTCCTCCAAGAATTCAAGCATTTGATGCAGTTGGGATGATATGATGTGCTCCTATGCAATGTGTGGTTTGAAGACAGATACTTTGATTAAGGAAATCATAGCAAAACCCACAGAAGTAAAAGACTAACTTTTTATTCCTAGTATTAATTAAAGAATAGTCAGAAAATACTGTGGCTCAGGACTCTTTAGGTGTTAAGGCATGAAAACAGTTATTACTCAGTTGCGAATAAAAAGGAAGAGGGCTTGTGTTTTACCCCTCTGCCACATTTAGGCAGCACACATGGGTAAAAGTACATTTATATGTTACGATGAAGGCAACAAATTCCTATACTTTGAGTTCTTAAACATATGTGTTTCCATCACCTAAATGTTCAGTGAATCATCACTCAAAGAGAATTAGAGTTATTATGTATTTATAACTGCCCAAAATACATTAATAAACTTGGAAAACATAAATATTTGACAGAGCGAAAGAAGAGACTGAAAGTGCTAAAAGTGATGTGAGAGCTTCTTTTCATTACATTCAAAAAAGAGCTGTCAAGACCGCTATAATATGCTGGACTTAGCAATGGCAGCAACTAATAGTTACCTCCTCCATGGCTGAACTTGCATTAAGACTATAATTCCTTTTCCACAAACCTCTGAGTATTCTGAAATTAGCTCAGTAACAGTAGGAAGAAAAATGAAGGGAAACTAGACACAACTTAAAGCATGAAAAGATGGAAAAAAAGAAGCATGTGTGAGATATTAAACTGTAGGAGTGCATTCAATGCACCACAACTATTCCTCCAATTATTGTTTTGCTCTGTCATATGAACAAGATTATTTTATGTGTTTCTCTTCTCACTTTTTGTCCCTGTACATGTGTATCTTTCAAAACATACAGAAACATCAAAGCACTGCAGGTGAATATGAACATTCAGTTCTGTGTCCTTGCCCCATTTGCTACCTGCTATCATTTAAAAGCGTTTTACAGCTTTATTCCTGTCAGATATTTCATAACCATTTCTACTTAATTTTCCCTAGCAGCTTTCCCTGTACTATAGTTTCATTTCATTTTATTTTATTTCTCATAAAGATTCTAATTTCTGTGCTTAAATTCTGTAGTTTTGTAGCATAAAGCAGATAGAATGCATATTTATCACCTCCAGATTACAGCATCCCATGTCTCATATTTATATGGATCATCCAAACAAATAGGTATCTTAAATGAATGCACTGTTACAAAATCTACCATAGATTATAAGGGGGAGCTATTTAATGTTCTCATTTCCCAATTTCAGTTGCACATAAAAGGGTTTTAAATAAAATTGTTTTATTCAACGTGAAGATTGCTGATTGCATATACAGAAAACACATTTGCAGCTCACACAAGATGGTGCTACAGTGCTACATACAGCATATGATACTGAAATCATTGAGATTTGTGAGTATGCACATTGCAATAAAAACAAACTACACTGTGGGGAAATCCTTAATTATTGGCATTTGAATACACACATCACACTTCCAAAAACACAGTGGTCAAAACAGAAATATAGAAATTTTGGTTGAAGATCAATTAGTGCAGCAGCCAGCATATATATATACTTTAGCATACATGGGTATGGCATATGCTTGACAACAAACTACTCTGACCACAATATCCTTTCATTTTTATTCATCTTTACATAATGTAATGATTTGAATTTTTTGCTAAGGACTACTACTATGGATAAAAGACTTGGTGGGGTAGAAATTAGAGTTAACTTACAGCCTCTTGGGTGTGCTGTAGTACCAGTCTCAGGGTGAACGAAAGAACAACAAAACTATCTTTAATTATGGCACATTTGCTGCAGAACAAAAGCACTTTTTAAAAAGTTACAGATACACTGTCTACATTTCTATGAATACGTTCAGAATGCCAGAGTCTTTGACTGTAAGGCCAACTGGCATAGACTGGCCACATAGATGCTAGCAAGCACTCACCACCCAGAGAGGAGAGCCACAATCAAACTGCCTACTGGTTTCTATTCTGGAGTAACAACTAAACAACATATAAGAATTATTTAGAGAAGTGCAAGATGAGAATAATGCCAAGGAGTTTTTTTAACAACACAACCACATAGGTAAATGAGTTATAGTGCTTGGGCCCATGCCTTCGCACTGTTTTATTTACTAGGAGATATAGTAGCCACTACTTTCACATTCTAATGTGAACACATAAAATATTAGTAAAGCCATAGGCTGTTTCTAAAACTGGTTTTCAGAGAAGATCAGGAATTTTACATAATTTTGGCTTGATCTTTTTGTACTTTCAAACCCCAAATCTGAGTTGGAACACAGAATAGTGGAGTCCAGCTGTGGGTCCCAAATTTAATTTTACTAGCATAGATGTATATATTCCCTAGCCACCAAATGCTTGATGCTGAACAGCTTGCAGTAGATATGCTGCTTTTGGCCATGGACACAGCAGTAAAACTGTAATAAGTTTCATGTACTTGAGGTTAGTGGTGAGATTGCTAAATATCCACTTTGTAAAATTTGCTATTTGTCAGTAATTTGAGAACTAGCATGATTTTGTGGGTCATGTGTGCACCTATGTCATGGTTTAATGCCAGCTGGCAACTAAACACCACACAGCTTATTCCCTGCCCCCCTCAGTGGGATGCAGCAGAAAACTGGAAGGCTAAAACTAAGAAAACTCATGAACTCATGGGTTGAGATAAGAACAGTTAAATAATTGAAATAAAATAACAATAATGTAATAAAAAAAATTAATGAAAAGGAAAATAACAAAAAGAGAGAGAAATAAAATCTGAGAAAAACAAGTGATGCAAATGAACAGCAATTGCTCACCACCAACCAAATGATGCTCAGCCCATTCCCAAGCAGTGGCCCCCCAGGCAGCTTTCCCCTGAGCTTATATACTGAGCATGACACCATATGATGTGGAATACCCCTTTGGCTAGTTGAGGTCAGCTATGTGTCCAACCGTGTCCCCTCCCAACTTCTTGTGCACCCCCAGCCCACTTGCTGATAAAGCAGCATGAGAGGCTGAAAAGTCCTTGACTTAGGGTAACCCCTACTCTGCAACATCTAAAACATCAGTATATTACCAACATCATTCTCATCTTAAATCCAAAACACAACACTGCACCAGCTACTAAGAGGAAAAATAACTCTACCCCAGACAAAACCAGGACAAACTATGATAGCAATTATAAGTGAACTACCATAAACTATTACTGCTGATTTTGGGTTCATCTAAAT